ATTTATTATATAATATTATAAAGGTTTGACTGTTTGTTTACATTGAATAATAGGCTCTGAAAATTCTTGACAGATTTTAAAAGTCATATGCAGTTGACATAGATTATAATTCACACGTGGGAAGCAGCAGGAGAAATGCTAATACATATTTATATATGACGATAATTATGATGTTGGCCCTTTAATTGCTGTATTTTATCAACTGTGCCTTTGAAAATGAGTATATTAATAATACAAAACTAAAATATTACTTAATTGGTCAATTTCACCCTTTTGAAAAATATCATACTTATACAGTATATTACTTACATTACTTATTTATTTTGGAATTAACATACTCATAGTCTACCTCTGTTTTTCATAACTGTTAATCATCTCAAAATCAACTGTTATTCTCCATCCAAAGGTTGTCAGGTAAAAATCGCTGTTAGCTATAAGACCACCAATTGCCTAAATATTATAAATAAAAATCTTGTACTGTTGAAAATGGTGTAACAATAAAGTATTATTTTTGATTTTAAAGGTCTGTATTTTGTGACCCTTTAGTCCTCTCTGCCTACTTGTAAAAGATACTTTTTTGCATAAATAATGTTGCAGTGTAATGGCTACCCACATGTCAATTACAGAATTGCACTGAATTCACATTAAAAATTACAATAGAGGTCAAATTAGAAAGTAAATATTTTAGATATGAATAAAGAGCATTCTTTTTAAATGTTTTATAAATGCAATTATATTGGATACAAATGCACTTGCGCAAACTATTATTACACGTGGTTATGTGAAGCGTCTTAAGAGAAATATTTAAATAAAAGAAAGAGTAGATATCCTCTACGGAGGATACTCTCTACACAACAAATAGCTTACATGATATCTGCTTGTGGTTTGATACTGATTGCAGATGAACATACAGACAAAAGAAAAAGAAACCCTATATTGGACATTAATTTATCTTGCTAGACTGTCTTGGCGCTATTTGATCCTTCTCCCATCTATTCTTATTCCTATTCCTTTGCTTAACATTTTTATGTAAGGATCTAAACTAAAATATGATTATATTTTATTCCTTTTTCCTTGCAACTTGGTAGAAGTTGTATTCTCCAGATTGACAGCAAACTCCTCTATAAAGTTGTGCATATAATTACATTATTGAAGTAGACGAGTCACTGGTCTGGACCGCAGATTTTTTTTATCAGACTATTCATCATCATTATCATCATCATCATCATCATCATCATCAGCCCTTTTACGTCCCCACTGCAGGGGTTCAGGCCTTTCTTATGGATGGTTAAGGAGGATGGGCCATGATACTCCATGCTGGCCCAATGCAGATTGGAGGGTATTAACGACTGCCAATGCAGCCGGGACCAACGGCTTAACGCGCCTTCCGAGCACGAAGTGCTTTGCTTTTGGTCACCCATCCCGTGACCGACCCTTGCGAAAGTTGCTTAACAACAACGATCTCGTTTATCCTCTACGCCACCGAGCTACTTATCAGACTATTGTAACATGGCTAATGTGACAGAACGCATTAAAATATGAATTAAAAAACAAAAATGGTTTTTACCAACATAATGCTTTGTAGGTACATGTTAAATCATTGTATGCAGTTTTTATTGTGTAATATTGTAATGGAAAGTGACTTCAAATTTTAATGAAGTCATTTTTCAATCTTGACGCTCTGTATGAAATAAAACAGGGAGAAAAAAGCAGCCCTTGCCGAGTTTCTTGCCGGTTCTTCTCGGTACAAGGTCTCCCGCCGTAGATTTACGAACCGATGGCGTAGCTCTCGACTTTCACAAGTGCTTGTAACAGCCTAGACTGCCTAGATTGAATAAATAATTTTGATTTTGATTTTTAAAATGTAGTTTCAACTTTGTGGATTCCTACGGCGTAGGCTGGGCTTCTACCTTCTTCTTTTTTAATTCATGGCCTATTAAACATATAGCAATTGTGAGAGTGACTTATGGAATTGTGTTACTTTGCTTTTAGAACGAATTATGTTTTGAATAATATAAATGTTATAGAGAGTTTAATATTTTTGACTTTCCCTAACAGGTTTCAAAGATATTTCTAACTATCACTTTGCTCAGACAAGAAAAAAAGGCTTAAAAGAAAATGTTGTGATTGTATATTCGTAATTGCTAACACATGTCAATTAGTTGTATATCTATCAAATTCAGAGTGATCGTGATAGATTTTAGAATGAGAAAATTAGGCCAGTTTGTCTGTCTGTTCGTTTCAGGTGTACGATTTCTCGGATGTGTGCGTCCGTGTGTGTTGGGAGTGTCGCGAGGTGCTGCGCCGGTTCGGACAGTTCAAGGCGCTCGTCAAGAGGTCCTACACGGAACTGTTACAACAAGTGCATCAGGTCAGTATTATACAGGGTTCATCGTCTTCATCACCGCCATTATACTGAAATATTTGTTAAACAGTTACAAGTACTATTCACACAGAGTAGAGTACCCTATTGTTAGGGCTTGGGCCTTTCCTCTGGATGGAATGGCTAGGTTTTCTAGTGGGCAAAATCATAGTTAGGGGGCGTTACTATGACATGGAATCGTCCAGGCGATTTAGGCAACTGCTTAGGGCGCTCGTTTTTGAAAGGCCGCATGGACTGACAAAGAGACTGTTTGCTCTAAATATTTAAAAAAAAACTTTAAAAAAATACTTTTCCTCTTTGATCACGAGTCCACGTCCGCGGTATTCAAAAGTACAATATTTTCAGACCAGCAGTATTTCTTGACATTGGCAAAATTACCCTCTTTAGTCGGTTTACGAGGGTGGTTTGAAAAGTTCTCGTTTTCTACACGTTCTCCGCTTGTCTCAATACAATGGCATTTGATATACGATTAAATAAATAATCGAGCTGTCGAATGACAAAAAATTAGTTTTCATACTACCCTCAAATCTCGGTCAAGCCGAGAACTTTTCAAACTACCCTCGTACCTACATCAGTCTTATTTTTGTTGTAATTTTTTTTACTGCCATCGGTCCAGCTGGCCCATTCTCCTAATGTTAACATTATAGTCGCATCTCAATAGTGAAAACAACCTATTTAACAATTTTTTAAGTATTTCTCATTAAGACTTGTTTCCAGTATAGCATTGTGGATGCGAAATTAATTAAATATTATAACATAATCTGACTTAGCACTAATTGAGATATAATCTGTTGTCGGTGTGCAGAATAATCCGCCCACAAAACTGTCGTTGGTCCGTTCACCTCGTCTACAAGTGCAAAACGTGATCAACATATGTTACCCGGACCAAGAGGTGAAGCAGGAGACCAGAGACGAGGATGTGGCCGTCGATGCGGCGGAACTGGCCGAGCCCACGTGTGTGGATCAGGTCAAAGTGGAAGTGGAAGATTTGTTCGATAAAGTCGAGGTTGTAGTGGAAATGAAGAAATCAAAAAAGGTAAGTTTCACAGGATGGATGAATGGAGATTTGTTATATTGAGTTCCTCTGTGCTTCTAAAGGAACGTTAAGCTATTGGTTCCGACTCGTTAAAACCCACCAATCCGCATTGGGCCCGTGTGTGGGTTATATATAGGTTTAGAGTAAATTTTGCAAGAATCAGTCATATGAAGCGTGACCAAAAGTTTTATGTGTGCTCAACGGCTTAGCAGAAATGTTAAGCTGTTCGTTCCAACTGTATTGGGTGTTTATGTGTGGTGTGTGAGTGGTAGTGGGCTACATACAGTTTGTTCAGCATATTTAAACAAGGTACTTGTGAATGTCGACAACTATGCCATCCGTTCATAAATCTACTTTGTACTGTGAGGAACCGGCAAGAAATTCAGTAATGGCGGCTCGTCCCTACAGTAATAATAATAATTTATTTCTTTACCACACTTAGGATTAAGTCACAATTTAAAGAAATTACCAGTTATAAGAGTTGCCAATCCAAGTGATGGGAGACTGGAAACTGGCACTGAGCTTAATAGTAATTTTTTTACGAATCCAAGTATTACTTGTGTGTGTGTGTGTGTGAGAGAGAGAGAGAAAGAGACGTTAGGGACAGTAGGGATGTTAATAAGCCAATGATGAAGTTATATATCGGACGCAGCTAATCACCACTAGCCGTCTTATATGTAGGTTATATGTAGTCTTTTATGAATATAATATTGATGGATATACTTATGTCATGAGAATACAATATAAAATTGAAATGTATTTTTTGTTCAAATTATAGTATCATGTTATAACTCTTATACGAAACGTTGTAGTATTATAATATAATAAATATTAGATGTTGTTTTAAAAATTACCCTGTATATTAATTAAAGACATCCAAAGAGAAAACGAAAAAAGCTAAAATCAAAGTGAAGAAAAAGAAACTACCTCTAAAGAGTGGGAAGAAGAAGGAGGTTAGTAGAAAGAAGACACCAGAAGTATTTGATGACCTGTCTAATGATGACGGCGACGGTGAAGCTAACTGTGATATAGATGATGGATTCACTGATAATAACATAGAAGATGTTACAGAAGAGGCTGATGTGATAAAGAATAATGTAGAATTGAAAGAAGAGGAACAATCAGAATCTGTAAGTATTTTATTAACAATCAGGCCGTTCGATAATTTATTAATTATATAGTCAACTGAAGCCTATGATTAGACAATTTATAATTTACAGAGACAACTAAAGGTTGTGATTAGACAATTTATAATTTACAGAGACAACTAATGGCTATGATTAGACAATTTATAATTTACAGAGACAACTAAAGGCTGTGATTAGACAATTTATAATTTACAGAGACAACTAATGGCTATGATTAGACAATTTATAATTTACAGAGACAACTAATGGCTATGATTAGATAATTTATAATTTACAGAGACAACTAATGGCTATGATTAGATAATTTATAATTTACAGAGACAACTAAAGGCTATGATTAGACAATTTATAATTTACAGAGACAACTAATGGCTATGATTAGATAATTTATAATTTACAGAGACAACTAATGACTATGATTAGTCAATTTATAATTATATAGACGACTAATAGCTGTATTCCAACTTATTCCCTTTTAGGTCCAAAAGAAAGAAAACGGTAAAGTGGCAGATGACAAAATATCCCAACCAGCTGTTGTCGGCGGTAAGATCAAGTGTGCCGAGTGCGGGAAGTTGTTTAGCTCCAAGAAGACTTATAGGTACCATTTGAAGTGAGTAGTTTATTGTACGTTGTCTATTTGTTTATGTACGGTCAGTAGCACGTCAAGTGTTATAAAACTGCTAAATTTCTCAATTTTATTTTAAACCTTAATGTGATGTTGATAGAGTTCAAAATCAATTTGACATATTGTGGTAATATGACGTGCAGTCGTGTGTAATTAAATAAGATTTTTAAAACAAGAGTTTCGACTTGAGCCACTTATATTGTGCGGTTGCATAACCGTACAGGAATGATATAATATATCTTTTTATAAATAAGTGTGTAATTGTGGTACTGATATATATATAATTATGGCACAAAATGGTGACGCGTTAAAGTCGGTCAGTGGGAACGTTGTGACAGAAATAATGAAATTCAATTCTAATACATTTATTATTTATATATGTATATATTACTTAATATGTATATTGATTCTCGTTAATGTTTAGTTTAAGTAATTCGTGTAAAGTAAAGTGAAAATCAAAACTTTCTAACGAATTTCATTACGTTCGATGCTTTTACTAAAAAGACAGACTCTAACCAATTCTTAATCAGCTCGCATATGAAAATACACTGTGGGAGGATGCTTTTTGTCAGTTTTTGGTAGTTTCTCCACCTGTGTGAGAAAAAATTGCAAATCGTCACGATTACTTTTTCCATCGTATTAATTTAAAAAAAATTTGGACATCACATACGTCGCTCGCACACTACGAAGGTCCCCTCGATATCCAGATCGGGGTCGGAATCGAAATCCGCACTGGGTCAGCGTGGAGGGTCACGGCCCATCCTCCTTAACCATTCAGAAGGAGGGGCTAAAGGGCCGGTGATGATGATGTAACACTCCTGCAGCACCCTGCACCGGGGCCAGAACCGGTTCCCGTGCCCGCGCTGCGGCAAGGAGTACCAGTGGAAGTCCAACCTCGGCCGCCACATGCGCTCGCACCGCGCGCGCGACGCGGGGGAGCTCCACTGCGGGCCCTGCGACAGGCGCTTCGCCTCCGTCGCCACCTACACGCAGCATCTGCGCCTCTCGCGCCGCCACGTCGCCGAGCGGGACTTCAGGTAGGGCCCGCCTCCGCACTCGGCCCCCGCGCCGCCACGTCGCCGAGCGGGACTTCAGGTAGGGCCCGCCTCCGCACTCGGCCCCCGCGCCGCCACGTCGCCGAGCGGGACTTCAGGTAGGGCCCGCCTCCGCACTCGGCCCCCCGCGCCGTCTACACGCGGCATCTGCGCCTCTCGCGCCGCCACGTCGCCGAGCGGGACTTCAGGTAGGGCCCGCCTCCGCACTCGGCCCCCGCGCCGCCACGTCGCCGAGCGGGACTTCAGGTAGGGCCCGCCTCCGCACTCGGCCCCCGCGCCGCCACGTCGCCGAGCGGGACTTCAGGTAGGGCCCGCCTCCGCACTCGGCCCCCGCGCCGTCTACACGCGGCATCTGCGCCTCTCGCGCCGCCACGTCGCCGAGCGGGACTTCAGGTAGGGCCCGCCTCCGCACTCGGCCCCCCGCGCCGCCACGTCGCCGAGCGGGACTTCAGGTAGGGCCCGCCTCCGCACTCGGCCCCCGCGCCGTCTACACGCGGCATCTGCGCCTCTCGCGCCGCCACGTCGCCGAGCGGGACTTCAGGTAGGGCCCGCCTCCGCACTCGGCCCCCGCGCCGCCACGTCGCCGAGCGGGACTTCAGGTAGGGCCCGCCTCCGCACTCGGCCCCCGCGCCGTCTACACGCGGCATCTGCGCCTCTCGCGCCGCCACGTCGCCGAGCGGGACTTCAGGTAACGCTCGCCTCCCGCACTCCTGCACACCGCCTCACTCACCCGACACATTCCTGATTCGACCCAATTAATTCCTGATTCGGCCCGAAACATTAGTGACTCGGCCCAACATGTTGCTGATTAGAGCCAACACATATTCGTGGTTCTGCCCAATACATTCCTTTTTCGGCCCAAAATACTCCCGATTCGACCCGATATATTCCCTGCTCGGCCCATCATACTACTGATTCGACCCAACATCTACCTGATGCGGTCCAACACTTTCCTGATTCGGTCCAACACATTCCTTACTCGGCCCGTAACATTACTGACTCAGCCCAACGCATTCCTGACTCAGCCCAACTCGTTCCTGACTCGGACCAACACATTCCTGTTTCGGACCATTATATTACCGACTGGTCCCATTACATTCCAAAATTTATTTCTTATTAACAATAGGCTCACTCTTGATCTCAATCTAGCCCAAGGACATAGATGAGATCTACGGTGGGACGAGCTTCTAACGAATTCCTAACTCGACTCAATACATTCCTCGTCTCGGTCTTACGGTTTCCTATCTAAGCCCAACGTATATGTGACTACTTAATACATTCCTGATTCTACTCGTTACATTCTTGACTCGACCCATTTCACTCGTGACTCGGAACAATCCATTCCTGACTTCGCCCATTGCATACTTGAGTCGATAGATCGACTCAAGTATGCTTTATCTAACTCGACATATTACATTCCTGACTGGGCCCATTGCAGTCCCGAATCGGCTCATTACGTCACTGACGCGACCCATTGCTTTAATAACCTAGCCTATAACAGTCCTAATTCGACCCGAAACATTAATCACTCGGCGCATATCAGTTCTGATTCGACCATTTACATACCTGACTCGACACATACTATTTCTGACTTGTCCATAATATTCCTGACTCGATCAATAATCTTCCTAATTCGAACCGATTACTTCAAAATAAAAAATCATCAAAATTCCCGACTCGCACATTACCTTCTTGATTCGAGCCATCGCGTCCCTGTGTAGACCTATTGCATTCCCTATTGGACTCATGACATTTCTAACTTTCATCGAATGCGTTCTTGACTAGGCCCGTTCCAATCCCAACTCGTCACAACCTACATTTAATCTGTAAGTTTTTAGTCGCTCGACCCGCATATTCAAAATAGTTTCCTAAATCAAACTAGATGTCGCTACCGTGCTTTCTTGATTTCTCCAAGACAACTCTTCCGGTTTTTTTAATGCATAAATTTACTTTTCAAAACTTTTGTTAAGCAACGGTCACGGGATGGGTGTCTAAAAAATTATTATCTCTCGCTCCTCCGTGCTTCGGAAGGCACGCTAAGCCGTCGGTCCCGGCTGCATTTGCAGTCGTCAATACCCTCCAATCCGCATTGGGCCAGCGTGGAGGGTCATGGCTCGTCCTCCTTAACCATCCATAACGAAGGCCTGAGCCCCTGCAGTGGGGACATAAAAGGGCTGATGATGATTAAATAACACGACAATGTACAACGTACGGCGTGCGAATATTCTACCGTGTGCTACAAGCTTAACGTTGCGCGGTTATTCTTCCGTGTGCTACAAGCTTAACGTGGTGCGGTTATTCTACCGTGTACTAGAAGCTTTACGTTGCGCGGTTATTCTACCGTGTGCTACAAGCTTAATGTTGCGCGGTTATTCTACCGTGTGGTACAAGCTTAACGTCGCGTTACCGTTGCGGGTACAGTTTCGTGTGCGTGGAGTGCGGCAAGCGGTTCGTGAACAAGACGCGGCTGCGCGACCACACGGACTGGGAGCACCTGCACAAGGTCAAGTTCCGCTGCCAGCTCTGCGACAAGGTGGGGGGGGGGACTCATTTATTTATTTATTTAAACTTTTCTGCACAAATAGGTGGAGTTATTTATGTACTTGCATCGAAATGTTGATATTAATGTGGACCTTCCCGGGATTTCTTTATTTCTTTCTGTCATTGATGTAAGTTTGGCAACGTCGTGCGTGCAGTAGTTTAAATTGTGTAAAAGTAAATAACTTTTTATTTAAAAAATCACGGGATTTTTTCTGCTCTTTAAAATTAATCTCGGAATTTTAGGCATATCCACTTTATTCTTTCGCTGTATGAAATCAGTGTAAGTACATGAATAACTGGTTTTAACATAGAGAATTTAATAAGGCGGTACTATACAAAAATATAAATCAAGTCTCATCACATATCTTTACCTATAACTAACAACAATGTCACTTTTAATGATCCAGTTTCTCGTATGAGCTCACAATAATATTAGTGAAGACTTGGACATTTTTACCCAAAGCTTACCCATTTTCTTGTGCACGTGTGATCTTAAAATAAATTGGACGTAGTTACTCAAAAAGGATCCAACCCGCAAATTGGTTGAAAATGAGTTAAATATACCAAAAAAAAGCTCTGAGCTGTATTAATTCAATGTGCATCTTTGACAGATTCCTATTTTAGTTCAATGAAAACGACTCAAGCTTCTTAGATCCATATAGTAAAATAGCAAATTAAAAGCACTAATCTCGGTTAAAAATCACAATAAAGGTTCAAAACACTTGAATCATTTTTGTTAAAAGGTAATTTTATTAAAATGTGTACGATTTTATACAGTGAGAATACATTTGACATTAAAAATTAAAACAGTAAATATAAAGAACCTTTAATAAATAGTTTTTTTCGTTTAAATTTTGACATTTCAGTTAATTATTCTATTGTTTCTTCATTTGGATCGTTTTTGAGATTTGTTTGTAATAATAAGGTAATTGAAACCTTTATATTTTAATAAATATTGTTGGTTCAGTTAAAATGACATTATAATAAGATAATGTGAGTGGTATTCTATGCTATTAGATAAAAATATAATACACAAAAGTGTGACATCAACATGCGAATACAGCTTAAACTTCAATCGTCTATATCTCGAAAGTGATAGTGTGTGGGATGGATCCTTTTTGATTAATTACATCCAATTAATAATAATTGCCTGTGTTGTCTAATATAAGTTGTATTCTTGAAGTGTTGTGCGCAGCTATAATCGGGGGACAAACTTAGTGCTATACTTGGACATTTTGTATTGTATGGTTTGTTTTCTGTAGCTGTGCCTTTTATAAATAAAATAAAAAAAAATAATATGAGCGCGGAAACTGCTAATGCGCTGGATAAAAAATTACTTTATTTAATTAACTAAATCAACAAAAATAATTCACAACTATAAAATTCTTTATTTCATTTTCACAACACTAGTAGATCGTTCACCGCACTAGTTGTCGCTTCCGATCGCTTGTTCACTGAATAATGCCGGGTAGTCCATCTAGGGTTGCCAGATGGCCAGAATTTCCAGGATTGTCCCGTGTCCAGGAATTTTACTTTGCTATCCCAGAATGAAAAAAAAAACTAGTTTTTTTTTCCACTAAGTTTGCGATACTGTGTGTCGACCAGTGTTTATTTGCTAACGCTACCGATTTCTGAATATAATTACGTCACCAAAATGGCGGCCAGGCGCATTGGCAGTTTGCGGGTTTTATACAATCTTATATAAAACTAGGAGCCATTTTAGTCACGGGGGGGCTAATAGGGGATAGATTAACGCGCTCGTTCTGTGCCACGGTTGTTAAGCCACTTTCGCAATGGTCAATCATAGGATGGGTGACCGAAAAATTATTATCTCTCGCTCATCCGTGCTTCGGAAGGCACTTCAAGCCGTCGGTCCCGCCTACATCAGCTATTCGTTAATATCCACCAATCCGCATCGGGTCCATAAAGAAGGCCTGAGCCCCCGCAGTGGGGACGAAAAATCGCTAATGATGACGACTAATAACAAGCAAAATTTCGGTCACCCATCCTATGGCCGGCCGACGCGAAGGTCGTTCAACACCTGCAATCTCGGTGATCTGTACTGATGTCGAGTGTGTTTCATGTCGCAGCCGTTTAAGTGTCACACGTCGTTGTATGTACACATGCAGAACGTACACCACAACAACAAGAAGGAGAACCTGTGCCACATCTGCGGCAAGTCGTATCAGGTGAGTGAGTGGTTGTGTGTGTGCAGAGCTTTAATATAAAGCTAAATAATAGATGGTTCAGGTCCGAAATGGGGGGGGGGGAGGCAAGTTATCTGGCCTGACTAGGTTAAATATTAAAAACATATTGTAACATCTTTAGCCATGTTTAGATGGTGACTGGTCATAATCGGCTACTTTGTTATGCGATGATATTATTAAAGCTCTGTCAGATTTATTTTTCTCCAATAAGTGATATTTTAAAAAAGTAAAAACTTGTTTTTCTTCGATAATTTATATTATTTCGTGAAGTATCTTTAGAAATTGCGATAATTACTTCAGTAAATATTTTCAACTTGTGACGGTTAATTTGTTCCAAAATCTAATAGATTTAGAAATTGCGAAACGTTCTTTTTTACTAAAAAAAAAAAGAATCAAACCTCTGGCACCGATGTGCTAATCCCCTTATTACAAAATCTATCACAATCCCTTGATTTATTATGATCAAGATACATAATAAAACCTTACTTAAATCCGTCGAAACAACTCTTTCGTTTGAAATTTCTCATTAGCATTCAAAGATATTTGCGTCTAACGCTTGCCTTAGATAATTCAATTAACATCAAATCAACAATGTCGTTCATTCAATATCTTTCAATCAATCGCTGTCACATGACAAATAGTCGTTCAAATATCAAGTCGAAAGGCATTGCGATAGATTTATAATAAGCCAACTATATCGGGCTATATGTATGTGGCGTGCCGCAGAACGCGGCCAAGTTGAAGTACCACATAGTGGCGATGCACACGAGCGAGACGCCCTACACGTGCGCGCACTGCGGCGCCGCCTTCAGCTGGTACTCCTCCCTCTACCGCCACACCAGGGAGGTGCACCACAAGGTAACGCTACACTACACTACACTACGCTACAATATCCTACATTACGCTACCATATACTACGCTACACTTCTATATACTACACTACGCTACACACAATACTACACTACGCTGCACAATACTACACTACGCTGCACAATACTACACTACACTGCACAATACTACACTTCGCTACAATATACTACACTTCGCTACCATATACTACGCTACACTTCTATATACTACGCTTCCAAAAACTATTATACTACACTACACAATAATATTATACTACGCTACACTTATGTATGCTAATTGTTATGTGCGTGCTGAATTATGTTTAAGTATTTATGTCTTATATAATAAGATAGTATAAGTCATGCACTACGCAACACTACGCAATTTTCCATATTGGATTCATGTAAACCTTTATTTAGAAAGCTTAAGTTACTGACAGTCACAGGTTTTTATGTTTTGGAGATAGGTATTTTTGTGAGAAAATATGCTAATTTATTCCAAAAAGCTACCAGTTTTAATGAGTATCCATCTAGAGACACAACCAAATTATTACTACCCAGATGTGTAAGTGACATTTACCACAGAAATAGTCCTTTTATGTTAGTAAAAATATATAATAGAATTCCAAGGAACATAAGAGAACTACCATTTAATTATTTTAAAAGGCAACTTACCGAATGGCTCTGTGATAGATGCTTTTGGGTATGTTCCGATATACACTGTGAGAACTGCGCAGTGGTCTTACTGCTGAAAAATCCGTTCCGTTATGGACTGCCAGTACACTGCTACAGTACCCTAGGGAAATTTATGACGTCATAAATTGCCGCCATATTTGTACTGTGAGCACTGGAGATTTTCGAGGTAAGGTGCTCGCAGTGCTTTTGATCACGTGATCAGTCGAAACAGAATTAGAAAATGATAAGTTTCTAAATAAACAAAAAAAATACTTACGTTTATTATAAGATGGATTTAATTGATAAATATTTTTTGTTCCAAAAAGAGGGAATCTTTATATCTATATTCACCTTGCATCAACAAATTTGAAAATGGCGCCAAAAAAATAGTATTAACAGTATACTGGACTGCGTTCCGTTTTAAAGAGTCACCAGTATAACTAGCTATAAAGGAACGGGCTTCCAGTATACTAAATTGACGTCATACTGTTCAGTGGTCGCAGTGTATATCGGAACATACCCAATATTCAATTGAGGAATTTATGAATAAATAATAATTAATGCAACTAAACATTCTTTAATATGTACAGTAATAATGACTTAATATTGATACTACTTGATTATGACATAATTTATAATTTACTAATTTTTACATTATTTGTTGTGTTCAATAATTATAATAGCATAGATTAACTTTGTCATATATATCTTTTGCATGTTGAATATTACGCGAAATATGCTGACCAGTGTACCCTATCCTAACATCTATGTAACCATGTTTCTAGCATAATAAATTATTATTATTATACTACACTACACTTCCATATACTACACTACATATACTTTTAACTTTTATACTACACTACTTAGGATTGAAATATTTCACCACATTAGTAATTTGCGCGATAAAAAGTCCTAAATATCGCCATGTGTTAAATATATATATTTTAATTTAGGCTCAAACCGAATAGATGTTATAGATAAATATGTTTTTTATGTTGACAGATGAAACTTCAACCCAAGAAGACCCGGAAGCAAAAACGCGGCGAATTATTACCGCCGATGTTGGCAACACACGATCTGATGATGCCACAACCCGGGCCAGTGTGACGCTGGCAACACTCTTGAACCAACGGTTCCTAATAAGAAATAACATTCAAAAGGCATATTTTGATTTATTCTCAATGTCTCTTATTACAGTTTAAAATTTAATAAATCTACTTTAAATAAAGCTGACGTGCTCAAACGTGTAATGTTAGTTCAGTTCGAGCAGCTATTTACATTTTTGTAAACATAATGGAATATGTTTTATTTCGAATCGATTTCTTTATTTCATAACAAGTACTGATGAGATGATCTGAATTTTTATTGATAAGAAATAAAATATTTATTTACATAGAGAGTGGAGTTGTTATTTATTAAATTGCCCGAGGTAGGTTTGCTAATCCCACGCTCATCTTTACATTCCCACGCTCGTACATTTTCACGCTTTTTATTATATTCCCACGCTCTTTATTGTATTCCCACGCTCTTTATTTTATTACCACGCCCGTTTATACATTCCCACGCTCTTCGATAGATCCCTACGCTCGTTTATACATTTCCATGCTCTTTAATTGTATTCCCACGACCATTTATACATTCCCACGCTCGTTTATGCATTCCCCCGCTCTTTATTACATTCCCACGCTAGTTTATGCATTCCCACGCTCTTCATTACATTCCCACGCTCGTTTATGCAGTCCCACGCTCTTCATTACATTCCCACGCTCGTTTGTGCAGTCCCCACGCTCGTTTATGCATTCCCACGCTCTTCATTACATTCCCACGCTCGTTTATGCATTCCCCCGCTCGTTTATGCATTCCCACGCTCTTCATTACATTCCCACGCTCGTTTATGCATTCCCACGCTCTTCATTACATTCCCACGCTCGTTTATGCATTCCCACGCTCTTCATTACATTCCCACGCTCTTCATTACATTCCCACGCTCGTTTATGCATTCCCACGCTCTTCATTACATTCCCACGCTCGTTTATGCATTCCCACGCTCGTTTATACATTCCCACGCTCGTTTATACATTCCCACGCTCTTCATTACATTCCCACGCTCTTCTTTACATTCCCACGCTCTTCATTACATTCCCACGCTCTTCATTACATTCCCACGCTCTTCATTACATTCCCACGCTCTTCATTACATTCCCACGCTCTTCATTACATTCCCACGCTCTTCATTACATTCCCACGCTCGTTTATACATTCCCACGCTCTTCATTACATTCCCACGCTCGTTTATGCATTCCCACGCTCTTCATTACATTCCCACGCTCTTCATTACATTCCCACGCTCGTTTATGCATTCCCACGCTCTTCATTACATTCCCACGCTCTTCATTACATTCCCACGCTCGTTTATACATTCCCACGCTCTTCATTACATTCCCACGCTCGTTTATACATTCCCACGCTCGTTTATACATTCCCACGCTCGTTTATACATTCCCACGCTCTTCATTACATTCCCACGCTCGTCAGTTTGATTAAAATGAATTTCTTTCTAAATAAATCATTCGCAATTCGTTGACACAAATGTTTTAATAAATTGCGAAATAAAAAAAAACACATCTAACTTACAGATTTATTTAAAACAAATTACAAACAAACAAACTATTTATCACATTTACTATCACTATCGTAAATTGCCCTGACAATTTTCAGCAACTCCCTCAAGTTCAAGCCGGTTTTAGCCGATATACCGATCACGTCCATCTCCTCCCTCATTCCCTCGTAGTTCTGTCTCGCTTCCTCCAGGTCTATCTTGTTCACGACGACCACGCTCGGCCTTCTGGCTAGATCACTGCTGTACTGTTGTATTTCATGCATCAACACTCTGTACTGCTGTTTTGGTTCATTGCTCCCATCCAATAAATATATTAAGCCTTTGCATCTCTCTATGTGCTGTAAGAATTGTATACCTGAAATAATTAAATAAATATTAGACATCTCACACGTTATCTAGTGGGCTAATAGATAGATATACCTGAAATATATTTATCAAAATTTCCCGCGTAAACGCCAACTTCTGTCATGGCGTCGCTGTGACGTCAGCGGAGTGATTCTGTTAAAATCCGAACCCGAATTCAAATTCACTCATGTGTCCCGAGTTCACATATTTTAGTGAAGAAATTCCATGTTTTGTTTAAAAATACAAAACAAATTGATTAATTATATATGTCTTAGATATTCAATTTCTATGTCATTTTAAAACTCACTTCACTTATGCCACGATACGTTACAACCAATACCAAGATTGAGCGGATGCCGCTCTGTGAAGTGAATTCGAGTTTGGAATTTCACAGAATCGCAGTGGTGGTATGAGTAAGAGGGGCGTGACGTCACGCGCTGTTTGCGGTCACGTGATAACGATTTTTCATAATTGTTTTAAGAAATATTATTAGTATATTAAACGCTTCCAGATAAAAATATATATATTTATTGTCGTTTACTCTACACCCGTATTATGTAATTCTAAAATATCTAATGCAACCTTCTTCAAAGGTATAGCGATTGTGCTAATGATTTATGGAGTTACATAACGCTTAAAGTCACAGTGTGGCGGTTAAGCCAATTAAATAGACTATATCAGATATGATAACTTATTTAATTACGTACAAGAGGGTAGGTCCCCAAAATAGTTTTATAAAAATTAAATTTAAAGAAATATTGAAAATTTAGGGTGTGGGTCCGTGACATTAAGCAACCGTCTCGTAGCAGATTCTTGGTCACCACTGTCCTGGCAATCCAGATAATATCGCACGTTGCAGATCTCCGGTCACTGGTCCCAGTAATACAGACACGACTGGTGCAGAAGTAAAGGTTTCCCGAATAACGTGTGTAGCACAATCCAGACCTTTCTTTACCCTGCCAGAGGATAGGTCCCCAATATGGGGAATAAACACATAAACTATATTTGTAGATGACTAAATCAAAAATTCACAATCAAGGAGACAGTAATTAGTGAGAAATAATGTAAGTGACGACAATATGTCCTGTCGCTGCGGTCGTATCTCAATTGTGCCACCCGCGTTTTGTTGGAGAACCGGTTTCCCGCTTCGGTCGGCAATGCGCAAGCGCATGAACAATAGACTTACTGAGTATACAACAGTTTTGCCCAGACTGTGCCTATTGAATTTATTATTTTTCTTTATAATATTTTGCTTGTTTTAATTTTAGTTTTAAGTTGTAATTATGTTATTGTATGCAGATTCAATTAAGTTTGAGAGTATTGTAAATATATATTTTTATATTTTGATTATTTTTAAATTGTTTTACAATATTATTCTTTTTTTTTTAATTCTTGGATTAAGATAGACAGATAGTAAAATCGTCACATACCCCCCTTTTTAGGTTATGATTTTACTTATAAAATCACTATGACTCACTCATAGTTACTTATTTTAAGATTTATCTTAACTTAAAATCTTTTATGTGCCATGTTCCCAACCTATTTCCTGACATATCTTCGAGATCATATACTAACTTAGATTTTTTTTCTCTTATGCGACACTTCATGAATTTGGGTGCTAATTTTTTTGAAAATTTATTATCTTTGTCGCTATGATAGAAAGTGCGCTTCCAAACGATATCCCCAACATTGAATTCTGCATTTTTCCTTCTAAGGTTATAGGTACAACTGTTTCTCGAATGTGCTTTAATAAGTGAAACTTGTACCTTATCGAAAATTTTACGTAGGTAACCAAGATTTTCTGCATAAACATCTCGAGGAGAAAAAACTATATGATCCTCGATATCTGCATCAATATAATGTGAACCACAAGAAATAAGTTCCCGTCCAAATACTAAAAACGCTGGTGTATATCCAGTAACTTCATTAACTGCGCTGTTTAATGCGAATTGGATTTTTGGAATATATGTATCCCATGATCTGTGATCATTCTCAATAAATGTAGCTACAGCAGTGATTATAGTTTTGTTGTAGCGCTCCACCGTGTTTATTTGTGGTGTATATAAAGGTGTATAGAAAACGTTTGGAATATTATAGGTAGTGAACAATCCTTTCATGGTATTGCTAATAAATTGTCTACCATTGTCCATTAGTAATGTACTAGGTACACCATACACAAGAAAAACTTGTTCTTCTAATATTTTAACTATTATATCTGCTGTAGCGCGTCGAATAGGAAAAATCAGACAATATTTAGAAAAACAGCATGTTATTACTAGCAAAAAGGAGTTTTGTTTCCTTGTTATAGGCAAGGGTCCAACCAAATCTATACTTAACATCTGAAACGGACGACAACATTCTTTTGGTCTACCCATTATTCCCAAAGACGAGTGGTTAGGGTATTTATACGACATACATTTATCACAGTTTGTCACGAATTTAGACACGTCTCGATGCATGTTAGGCCAAAAGTATTTCAGTGATAGTCGTTTGTATGTTTTAAATATACCAAAATGACCTGATGTTACGCTGCAATGATTTTTAGAAATGATATCATGGCGGTATTCTTGTGGTATTATTTCTTTCCACTCAAATTCTCTAAAAAGTGGGTTAAGTGACTTCATAAAGCGGTATAGTTTACCATCATGTACGCGATAGTTTAAGACAGAGGTCGGAGAATTCAAACAGCTTTTATATAAATTTAGATACCAATCGTCACTAGTATTTAACTTATGAACAGGAGGTGTATTATTATTAGAACTGACAACTGCTATCGCAACGGAACGAGATAAACTATCAGGAACGACATTATCTGCACCTTTACGATGTTTTATGTCAAAATTAAATGTTGAAAGACGAATACCCCAGCGAGCTAGTCTTCCAGTAGGGTTGTTTAGATTTAGAAACCATTTTAGAGAAGAGTGGTCAGTGTAGACTGTGAATTTGAGACCATTTTCCAAATAGCAACGCCAGTGCTCAATTGCTGTCAGCACGGCCAAAGCTTCGCGTTCAGTTGCACTGTAGTTGCGCTCCTGCTTGCTTAAAGATTTACTCATATAAGCGATTACTTTCTCTATACCATTTATATTTTGAGTGAGTACGGCGCCTATTCCGTAGTCGCTAGCGTCTGTATGAACTTCAAAAGGTTCGTTATAGTTGGGACAAGCGAGTATAGGTGCAGATGCGAGTAAAGTTTTAAGTTTTTTGAACGCTTCATTGGCTTGTGAAGTCCAACAAAAAGGGGAAGCATTTTTACTCTGTGATGTTAGTTTGTTAAGAGGAGCAGCTAAGGTACTAAAATTGGGAATAAACCTGCGGTACCATGAGGCTGTACCAATGAAACGTCGAACTTCTTTGCGATTAGATGGGATAGGATAATCTATTATACATTGCACTTTATCAGGATCCGCGTGTAGTCCATTAGCATTCACTACGTAGCCTAGATATTTTAGTTGTTTCCTAAAGAACTGACTTTTTGTCATGTTTATAGTTAGATTAGCCATTTTAAGTTTATCCAGAACTCGTTTTAAGAGTTGTATATGGTTTTCAAATGTGTCAGAAATAATAATGACGTCATCAACGTATACAAAGACTTTATGTTCAAATTCTGGCCCATAAAATAAAAAATCGACCAATCTCTGTTGAGTAGCTGGAGCGTTGGTCAGGCCAAAGGGCATACACTTAAATTGGTAAGTGCCTCGCGATGGAACATAAAAAGCGGTTTTACACCTATCCTCTTTTTTTATTAGCACCTGCCAGAAGCTTTTAGAGAGATCAATGCTGCTGAGGTATTTAGCGTCACGAAGATTGTCTAAAATTTCAGTTATGTATGGTAAACTATACGCGTCCTTCCTAGTAACAGAGTTTAGTTTTCTGCTATCCAGACAAAATCTGAGTTCTCCATTCTTTTTAGGTGTCAAAAGGACTGGAGAAGACCATGGACTTTCACAGGGTTCGACTACATCATCCCTTAGCATTTCATCCAGTTGTTCCATTAAAATTCGTTGTTTTTCTGGGGACATCCGGTAATAACGTTGTCGTATGGGGGCAGCATCCCCAGTATCAATAGAGTGAGTTATGATAGATGTACGACCCAAACCACGCTTCTCGTATGAAATATTTCGAAACTGTGATATCAAATTATCCGCGGCAAACTTTTCGCTTTTAGTTAAGTATTCATAAGGACACAATGCGTCAGGTTTAGTTCCTGAACGTGCAACATGTGAAATCTCAGAATCTTTGTAAAATATTATTGAATCTAAGTGTTTAGGAAAGAGACCAAAGGTACGCCAAAAATCTATACCTAGTATTAAGGAATTTTTAACTCCAGGTACAACAAAGAAATCAATAGAAATAGTTTTGTCTTGGAATTGAATGGGTAAATTAATAAATCCAATACATTCAAGTTTGTCGCCACCCGCTGTTATAAATTGAGACTGTTTAGAGTTCTGTAGATCGAACCCTTTATTAAGAAATGTTTCGTGACTACCGTTACCCAAAATTGTAACACAAGATCCAGTATCCAATAGCCCAGTCAATACTTCATCTATGACTGTGATAGTAATGTAGGGTCTAGTTCTGTCACAATCAGTAGATTTATCGTCGATCGACGCGATGGAAGTGAGCGTTGAAAACTTTCTAACAAATTTAAGCCAGTCTTCCCACTCCTTATCACGATCACGACGACCGACATCTTTTAGTTTTTTGATTGTTTATCATCTGGGTTACAATCAGGGCATTCGGGATAGCGAACGTCCAGTTTACCGCATTTAAAACAAATCGGGTATCGTTCCCGATTACAGTTTCCAAGAGAGTGTGAATTTGTTCTACATCTAGGACAAAAGGTAACTTTATGAGCATCAGTAGATATAGCTCCAACTTCATTACGACAATTTTGATTATTAGGTTCTTTGTATGTGATATTTGGTGGATTAGGTTTATAAGAATAATTATTACTTACGTAAGTATTTTTATGTACGTATTCTTTATTATTTGTATACTTACTATATT